AAGAAGGACAGTGAAAGAAACAAGCGAACAACTTGACGAGAGGAACGACAACTAGAAAAACGGACAAGAACGACATTCGAATTTACGCGACCGCGAGCACCGGACGGACCTCAGGCTTCAACCTACATTGTATGTATTCCGTGTTAAGTGTACATTTTAATTTAATAAAATAAATAAGCAAACCTGCGTAAACTGAAATGGGATTTTAATTTGATTAGAAAGGAAATCCTACACTTATAACAAATAAGGTGATTAAAAAAAAAATGGTTTGTATAATTTCTTTAGTATTTTTTTATTAAATTTTTGTAAAAACTAAAGAGATTAAGATTTTCTATTGTTCCAAATTTTCGCCTGCGGCGCTTTTCCTTTTTCATATAAACTATATTTTCATATATGTATATTTAGTCAAATATGATGTCCACAAGAATTTTTTGCTACAAGTCATATCAAATTAATGGTATTTTTGTGCTCTTTCTGATAAACATATCTGTTATTATAGTAAATTACGTATTTTTTAAAGAAAAACATACATTTTTATAAAAAATTGCCATAATTTCGTTTTTTACCTTTTCTCGCAATGTGTATACATTATATACATAGGTATATATATCGAATGAAAGGTCCTACTGCCTTTCCAACTGTATCCATATTTAGAAAATCGGTTCAATAGTTTTCGAAATATAAGCTTTTGAAAATGTTGAAAATTCCACGTTTAGCCCCTCCTGTCGCCGCCCCTGTCAATTTGCACCTAAAAATGTGCCGTTAAAATCCGGAATAGGGGGCGGGCCACGCCCACTTTTTTTTTCTTTAGCTCAAATGTCAGTATTCTTTAGGTGTTCCGTTAATATCATGAAGCAAACATTCGCACAAAACAAATGAAACACAAAGCTTGATTTTGTATTTTTTTAATTTTTTTATTTGAAATCAAACCACCGTCCAGGCGAATTTATATAAGGTGGTTCTGTTTCATCAGCTGTGAGTGGCGTTTGATTATCAAAATTTTAGGTCCATTCAATAACTTTTCCAGTAAGTACTTGAAGCGAGAGCGTAAAAGAAAACTAGACAGTAAAATTGAGAGGAAGAGACAATTTTCAGAAAAAGTTATTGAACGCAAAATTAGTAACAACTTGCAACTTACGCCATTTTGACACTTTCTGACAGTTAAGTTTTGGCGTGCAATTTTCTTTTTGATTAAGAATATTTCCCATCGTCATAAAAATAAAAAAAAAACATACATTGGATTTAAATTATTCATCCATATTTTCATTTGACTAATTACATTTCATCANGTATATATATCGAATGAAAGGTCCTACTGCCTTTCCAACTGTATCCATATTTAGAAAATCGGTTCAATAGTTTTCGAAATATAAGCTTTTGAAAATGTTGAAAATTCCACGTTTAGCCCCTCCTGTCGCCGCCCCTGTCAATTTGCACCTAAAAATGTGCCGTTAAAATCCGGAATAGGGGGCGGGCCACGCCCACTTTTTTTTTCTTTAGCTCAAATGTCAGTATTCTTTAGGTGTTCCGTTAATATCATGAAGCAAACATTCGCACAAAACAAAATGAAACACAAAGCTTGATTTTGTATTTTTTTAATTTTTTTATTTGAAATCAAACCACCGTCCAGGCGAATTTATATAAGGTGGTTCTGTTTCATCAGCTGTGAGTGGCGTTTGATTATCAAAATTTTAGGTCCATTCAATAACTTTTCCAGTAAGTACTTGAAGCGAGAGCGTAAAAGAAAACTAGACAGTAAAATTGAGAGGAAGAGACAATTTTCAGAAAAAGTTATTGAACGCAAAATTAGTAACAACTTGCAACTTACGCCATTTTGACACTTTCTGACAGTTAAGTTTTGGCGTGCAATTTTCTTTTTGATTAAGAATATTTCCCATCGTCATAAAAATAAAAAAAAAACATACATTGGATTTAAATTATTCATCCATATTTTCATTTGACTAATTACATTTCATCAAATCATCCTTTGTTTACATTTAAATTTCAAACATAACCTCGCTTTTTGACTCCTGCAAATTCCTGCTAGTAAAATTTTTACTTGCAAGAATTTGCAGCTCTCTCGGGTTATTACGCTCTCGAATTCGATCTCTCTTGCAATTTTTTTGGGTTATTGAATGCATTTCCAATAAAAACTTGTAAGTACTAGTAACAATTCGTAACAATTTCTTGATATTGAATGGACCTTTTGTATTTTGCCAGTGAGTGAGTGAAAACGTGACAGTGTTTGCACATACTGTCGCCCTTTTTCATTTGGGGAAGAATAGCTGAAATTGAAAAAAAAATACAATTAATTGTTGTATTTGTTAAATCGATACCACCTTATATGAATTCGCCTTGCCACCGTCAAAGTTAACTCCAAATTTTCAATGTGGACGATTGTGTTTTACAAAAATTTCTTTTTCATTTAACAAGTTAAATGGGGCCAATTTGAAAATAATATTAGTTCTTCATATGTATCTTATCTACTACAATAATTTTTTAATCCTGTTTTATTTGTTGTATAATGTTATTTAGCGTTGATGTTGAGGAATAGTTCTCTTCATTTGATAGATTTGATAAGTTTGTATAACCCTTTTGTTTGGATGCAAGTGGCATTAAATTTTCTCCCTTTCGCACCCTTAAAAATAAGAAAAAAAAAATTTATTGAAATTGGCGTGTTTATTTACATACATACATACACATGATTCAATAATTAATTGCCAGTATGCAGCTCTTAATAAAACGGTCAAGAAAAAAATGCGATATTCTTAAGAAGTGAGATTTGGTCCAAAAAGCGTTTCATAACTTGAAAACTACTTGACAACAACAACAATAACAACACGACACTACACAGCACAGCAAAATATTCTTCGCATGGATTCTTATGGAGCATACCGCACTAAGCGAGACTGCGCGGCAAAGTTGACCAACTAGACAAAAATGTCGCGCCACGTAGTGTTGCGCAGTTCCGCTGCCGCATAGTGCGGTATACCCAGCGTAACTACATACATACATAACATTTCATAGAATATTTTTAACTCGAAGAAATTGTATTTCGAATTGTGAGTGAATATTCAGATACCTTTCATTCTAAAAGAAAATTGTATTTAAAGAAACATAACATTTGAGAAGAATTCGCTAAAGAAAATAAAAGGCGTTAACATTATATCAGCGTCACTGGCATCCATCTTGTATGATGGTTTTGACACAAATAAATTAAAAAATTTGCATCAAAGTGTCGCGCCGCTGCAGTTCCAGTGCGTTATACCAAAAAGTGTCGCGCCGTGCCGCGTAGTGCCGCTGCAGTGCCGCGACGTTTAGAGCGGTCCTACCTTTAGTCAGAAGAATTTTTTGCTGGTAAAATCTTGAAAAATGTCACATTCAACTGAATTTAAATTAACGGAAATTAAAGAACACACGAAAAGTGAGAATAATCTAAAAACTAAATTAAATTAATTGAAAATGGAAGTGGGCAAAAAATAATTAATTTAGTAAGTGCTCATTGTGCTTGTGTGAATGTGTTTTGTACATATATTTCTATTCTTATTTGACATTAGTTTTGTTGTTGCCATTCTTTGGACTAAAAATTTGGTTTTTTGCGTTCCTTTACTTTTTCCTGTTATTCTCTTTTAAAGAGTGCATTTAGCTTACGCTCTTACATTTTGGCACTTTTCAGATTTTAGTCAGAAAAGATAAGTAGTGGATCTATTATTTCGTGTATATGTCCAAGGAATTTTGACATCTGATACTTCACAGCCGTTTGCCTCACTTTTTCCTCAAGAAATAATGGAAGGGGCATTTATTTCTGTTGCAAACATGGTTTGCTTTGTGCTCTTTTTTCACAAAAAACGTTAGAAAACCGTAGTAGAAAGCGTAGCCAAGTTCTTAACAGCTGCGTACTGCCTTAAGGAAATTTGACACAAGAAAATTTCTTGGCCAATTCTTGTACGTCACTTTGAATGGAATTTTTGCTTTTCTTGAGAGCTGCATATTGGCCTTAAAGGTTTGCTCACTAGTGACATTAGAGGTTTAACACTCTCTTAACTTCCTTACAAAAAGTTGCGCACACACCCGCACCCACACCCGATTTTATCAAGAGGGAGCGAGAAAACTGTTTTCTGAGCAAACTTTTTATTAAGATTGTTCCACAAGCTACTTGTAGAAAAACTCGAGCAAAGTTCAAACTGTCAGCGTATATCAAATAAACTAAAAAACTTAATGGTGGAACGCGTATGTGTAACTCGAAGTGACTTGTGGAACAAACCTATTATTGAGTCGTGAAACATACATAAATACATATATACCCAATAAACATTGGGCTTGGTTAACAATTCAAAAGTTATTGTGAAACACATCTTTTTTTCAAGTCTCACCATCGATAATGAATGTGGAACAGGTTAGAATTCGATTAGAAAACTCGGTCATTATCCAGCAAAACGCAACCTTCGTTATCCAATGCATTTTCCCTTCGTTATCAGTTCGAAATCCAGCCCGTTGTCACAAAGAAATTTTAATGGGAGTGATTTTCTTATATTTGCCTTAGAGAATGCGCTGGATTTCACTCATCATAATACAATGGGGCATATTCATAGTCATAATAAAGTCCACTCTAAAGCTAGTAGCAGATTTTATCACAATTTTCAATGGAATATCTGTCAAAAAAGCTTCAACCAACTTTATAGTCGACTTTATTTCAACTATGAATATGCCCAATTACTTTGCGAAGGAGCAACAAAAAATAAGGTAGTTTCAATAAACAACTTTTTGATTAAAAAGCAGATTTTTGAAAATTGCTCAATTGTGAAAAATTCCAAGCAGCGTTACCCAATTTAGGTTTTTGGTTTAGGGGATTTTATATCATAAATGAATAAAATAGTTATATTAACATTTACCTTTAAAAATAATTAAAATCTTATCTGAAAAAATTTTAAGTTAAAGTCGATAACCACTTGCCAAATTTTTTATTTTTAACCGGTATTCACATGAGTTGAATCAAAAGTTGGCTGCACTCCAACTTCATTGGAAGCGATTAGTTGAAGGGCCGTTGACACCAAGCGATTGTTCTTTCAACTAATAGCTGCTTGCCAAATCCTCTTAAGTAAACACCGTTTAGATTAATCAAAATTTAGTGAACATATTTTAAAATTTCTCCAGCGTTCTTATGTCATCTGATTATTTCACTCAATGCGATTCGGAAGGCAAGTATTCGAATGCGAATGATTTGCTTTTTGAATCGCAATACAGAGTAGATCCCCCAGGACTATTTCATATCGGATGCGATTATTTCTGGAATAATTCAAGCCCTGAAATTATTCGATGAGCTACTTAAGACACAGTATTTGGTATGATACAAAAATGAGAAGGTAAAAACGCCGAGGGGCAGCCTGGATATTTCTGAAGTTTGCTAACATAGCAAAAATGTTTTAAAACTTTCAAAACCACAAATACAGTCACAATTTTAGTCTCAAATAAAAGAAAATTTGATTATTTTCACTATTTGTTTTATGTTTCACTTTTATTTAGCATTTGAGTTGCTCTGAAAATTTCAATTTTATTAAGTAGACAAACTGCAAAAAATACAGGATGGCCAACGAATTGGCGAGAGGTTTTAGTTTTAAATACTTGTGTCATGGTATTTGGGTTATTCACAACGGTGTCGTAAGTGGCATATTTATATGTGTCGTAAACTTTAAAAGCTTAAAAAATGTTTAGAAGACTTGAAACCACAAATAACTATTTTTGTGGTTAAATTTGAAGGATTTTAGATATTCGGTATGGCAGCACGAAATGTCAAAATCTGCTTAGTTGCCAAGATGTTATAATGGCGACAAAAAGTGACAATGGAACTACCTTATTTTTCGTGGCGTGCAATATGCCATGAACGTTGGAAAACTAAGTTTGGTTATGAGCTCGTTCTCATTTCGATATGCATATTGGATATCGAAGGTCATTTTCGAACGCTCGCCACAATGCTTATTGGGTATGTATACTACTTACACTGCTTTCAATGTATTTAAATCCGGTACGTTTTTCGTATACGCTATTGCTCCCGAAGCCTCTAGTTCAGCTAACTCCGCCGGGTGCATAGTCCTCTTATGAAAGCGACAACTTGACCCAGTTGAAAATGTCTTTCCACAAAAGTCACATGAATATGGTCTTAGGCCTGTGTGGGCAATCAGGTGATATTTAAGAGTTTTGGCCCGCTTAAATGTTCTTCCGCAGTAATCACATTTGTGGGGCATCTTATCAGAATGCACCAGCATATGATTATTGAATGTAGCACGGCAACTTAACTGCTTGCCACATTCATTACAAATCAGCTTATCTCCATGTATTTCCAAGTGTCTCTAAAAGATATATGTATGTATGAAAGTTAGATGATATCCTTACTAATATTATAAATCCGAAAGTGAGTTTGTTTGTTTGCTACGCTTTCACGCATTAACTACTTAACCGATCATCATGGAATTTTGTACATTGCTGTCACTTAGCCCAACTTAAAGTATAGGATAAATTTAATCTCGATTAGACAAGGGAGAGTGGCACCTCCCGTGCAAACGCAATTTTACATACTGCATTTCTCAGGAAATATTTTTGATACGATTGCTGAAAGTTGGAGATATATAAAATAATAATCTGCTCATGGATGAGGGTTGCCACCTTAAAAAAACATCAAATTCAACTTCAATTTCAATTAAAGGAGTTTTTTTTTATTTGAAAATTATATTAAAAAAATGCATGCCAAGAGGCATAAAAAAGCTGTAGTTTGAATATATTTTGAAAAGGGTTGTCACCTGTGTAAAAAGTCAAATTTGAATTAATTATACGCAAGCTATCTGAAGAATTAAAATATGATCGTCTAACGAAATATTGTTAAGAAATCTTTAGTTTGAAAATTTTGAATAATATTTAAGTCTTTCGAAAGGGTTGCCACCTTTTTAAAAATTTAATTCAACTATTTGTACAGTAAAAGGTGCGCAATGGTAGTGGCGGTTGAATTATCGCTTTAACGCACAATAATACTGGCAAATCACATCCATTACGCCAATCGGAACACAAAAGAGTTCCATTGAGTATAGGTGCAACAGGTCGATTTAATCTGACATTCAAGTCACCTTTTCTAGCTTGGCGATTATTCGTAATGACTCCAGCGCCACCTTGCAGTCCTTTTTGGCAATAGTATTGCCTTTACCGCTACCAAAGTGTGCCATAATAGGGAATTTACATGATTCAACTTTCACAGGCGATTAGTTGAACCAAAAGTTGAACGAAAGTAGGGAGCCGACCAACTTCATTGTAAGCGATTAGTTGAAAGGCTGTTTACACCAGGCGATTGTTGCTTTCAACTAAAAATCGCCTGAAAAATCGCCTCATGTGAATTCCCTATAAATAAGATTTTTAGTAATAGCTTAACTCCAGCGCCAACTGGCGGATGAAATTGTGAAACTACACTATCCAGAGAGCCACTCAAAAGCACACAAAAAACTTCGTGAAAATCCGTCCGGGCATTTAGGAGGATTTCACTCAAAAACCCGCCTACATAAGAATTATATATTTATTTTTGCACGGCACCATGCCCCCTTTTCAAATAGCCCATTTTTCTCCATGAGTATAAGATTGATTTCATATATCGCCGTACCCAGTTCCGGCACTGTACCATGAACACTCCAAAATATGCAGTACGAAAAATTCGGCTTGCATGGGAGGTGACACGCCCCTTTTTCCAATAGCTCCAATTTTTTCCAAGAGTATGCGATTGATATCACATATGTATCTCCATACCAAGTTCCAGTACTCTACCATGAACACTTGCAGATATATGCAGTATGAAAAATTCAGTACGTATGGGAGGTGCTATGCTTCCTTTTCCAATAACCCCAATTTTTACTATAAGTAAATATGCGTTTGATTTCATATATTTCTATACCAAGTTCCAGTATTCTACCATGAACACTTTCAGAGATATGCAGTATGAAAAAATCGGTATATATGGGAGGCGCCACGCCCCCTTTATATATCGAAATTTTGTTTAGCCTATTTACTATCTTGGGGACATCTGAAGCAGGTGTCCGAAATTTCAAAAAAATCGATTCGGCCGTTCTCGAGCTTTGCGAACACATAAAAAACGTCTTTTAAAATATATATTAGTATAGAAGATTGGTATGAATCGAAATGGTTTTGAATATGTATCACAATATGAGTGCCAGACGAAAGAGGTTTAAAAAGATTGCCAACTGTTCAAAAGGTTAAGTTTAAACTTCAATAATTTCTGTGTTCATATGGAAAAGTAGCTTATGTCGAAAGGCTGGCTTTAGTACAATGCGGCATTCCCTTTATTCTTTAAACGACAAGAAATTTTTCGATGAGATTTAACAAGAATATTGACTTGCTACTATCAGAACTATTTCTGGCACGTTTATTTGCCAAACGTTGTTCAACGGCTCAGTGCCTGTGAGTCATTTGCAATCGCATGCTGCGAATGCCGATTTATACTAAATCCAGCCCTTCGACATAAGCGACTTTTCCATACGAACACAGATTTAAATGAATTATTACAATATGGGTGTCAATCGAAATGGTTTTTAAAAGGCTTCATTTCAAAACTACATGTAAGGGGTTTCCATATGTTTAAAATCTCAAATTGAGTTAATTTAAAAAGTATGACAAGTTTGAAAACATTTTGAAGATGGTTAAACAAACTTTAAACCTACTGTATTTGAATAGAGTTTTCTTGAAATAAATTTTACTCAATGTAGCACGTAGAAATTACATANGACTTTTCCATACGAACACAGATTTAAATGAATTATTACAATATGGGTGTCAATCGAAATGGTTTTTAAAAGGCTTCATTTCAAAACTACATGTAAGGGGTTTCCATATGTTTAAAATCTCAAATTGAGTTAATTTAAAAAGTATGACAAGTTTGAAAACATTTTGAAGATGGTTAAACAAACTTTAAACCTACTGTATTTGAATAGAGTTTTCTTGAAATAAATTTTACTCAATGTAGCACGTAGAAATTACATACACTCAGCGAAGCGGGTGAGAGCAATCTAGTACATACATAAATGTTTATATTTTATTACCTTCAGGATATTTTTCGCTTTGAATACCTTTCCACATTCTTTACATACATAGGGCGTGAAGTCAGTGTGGGTTAACATATGTTGTTTCAATAGTTTCTTTGAGAGTACTGCTTCTCCGCATGCGGCGCACACATATGGACTTTCCTGTTTATGTTCATGTTTTATATGTCTGCTCATTGCAATCTTTTTTTCGAATTTTTGGTCACAGTGCTGACAACTAAACAAATTTTTAATATTTTTTTCATGTTCATTTCTGATGTGTTTGTTCATTGCACCCTTTCTTTGGAATTTTTGGTCACAATGCTCACAATTATAGAGCTTTTGGTGATCTTTCATATGTTCCTGCAGATCAAATTCACTTTTGAAAGAACTCGGGCATTGTGAGCAAATGAAAACTCCGTGTTTTTTTTTCATATGTGTATAGTAATTACTCCGCCGTTGAAAACTCTGTGAGCAAATGCTGCAGGAATGGTCAATTTCCTGAGAGATATCTTCAGAGGTGTTTGTGGATTTCTTCGACTTTTTTTCACTTCTCTTACGGCTTTCAGTATCGCTACTTTCCGCAGAATCCAAGCCTCCGAAACTAAATTCACTACTACTACTGTCTTCGTCTTCAGACAATGTACCAGATTCGTGTTCGAATTTTACATTCTCGTCGCCGATCGGATCTTGAGATTCAGTTTTTTTACCATGTTTTGATCTTAAGGTCTTTGACTGGTTTTCATTAGATACCTTCTCAGTTTTTACATCAATGTTCGCAGCGTCAGCATTGCAAGTTACCGATACTAGATCGGAAATGAAAATTTCTTCAACCGGAAGCTCACTTCTATATTGAGTTAACGATTCGTCTTTAAATACACCATACTTCAAAAGTAATCCATTCAAATCTAGGTTTTCTTTGTCTGTACACTTCTGCAGTTCTTCGTACATTTGTTGGGTTTTATTTACGCGGTCTCTGAATTCAATAAGGTTGTTTACCCTCCCGCAGCACCCTTGGCAAATAACTTGTGGCAGTTTATCATCCTCTTTAATCTAAAAAAATGCATTGGTAATATAGTGTACATATGTATGTATATGTAATTTTCATATCTCTTACTTGAACTCGGAAGAATTCCCCTACAACCTGTACTGTGTCTATATTGCAGCTATAGCTGGTTTCATTAATGGAATTCCCACACTGACCAGATATAACATTGATGGACTGAATATCGGCCTTTCCACAGAGGCGGCACCAACTCCTCCATATTTCATCAAAAAAGTTTTCTGCACTATTACCTATTTGTCCTTCCACAGTTAAATTTTTATTCGCCATTATAGATATCTATGATCTAGGTATAGGGATGTATTTTCCACTCGATGTGTAAATAGTCGATGTATCAATGCACCGCTGATTGAGAAAACTGAAATCTCTAGCACATCGAACGGGAAATGTTTAGGGCGACCGCACACTGCACACTTACCGGCCGTCTTCACGTGCTGGGAAATCTCGCTTGCGTGACGACGCATGCGAGAAACCGCACGTGTAGACCGCAAAAAGTACGAAGCATGCTTTTTCTCACATACCGAGCGGTATGCCAGCTCTCGCTTGCTTTCAACTGTCATTTTTGTTGTTTGACAGCTATGTTCTCAATTCGCAGAGTTCTTCAGAGTAGCAACATCGTTTATTTTGGAGGCAATACAAACTTAGAGGCAGCCATTTTTCATTTGAAAATAGTATACATCTCTTTATGCAGATTTTCTAATTTTTTCAAACTTTTAAGAGCCTACAAGGCTTGAACCTTCTTGTTTGGCGACATTTTACAAATGAAAAAGTATGCTGTCAAATGCCCAGTCAACAAAACTCTATCTCGCTTGCGAGAGAAAAAAGCAGAACACAAGCGAAATTTTCAAGCATACGAAGACGGCCGGTTAATCTTCTTCTTCTTTTTTGGCGCTGTAACCGCCTAAGCGATTTTGGCCGAGTTCAGCAAACCAGCCAGTCGTTTCTCCTCTGTGCCAACTGACGCCAATTGGAAACGCCAAGTGAAGCCAAGTCTTTCTCCTCTTGATCTTTCCATCGCAGTGGGGGCCTCCCTCTTCCTCTGCTCCCACCAGCGGGTTCCGAGTTGAATACTTTCAGAGCTGGAGCGTCGGTGTCCATTCGAACGACATGACCAACAGTGTTGCCGTTTTAGCCCTTTGGTGGCTAAATTTGGCTACCAAATTCTATTTTTGGCCACAAAAATTTGAAATTGCCCCTAGCTCTTTTTTTAGCCCTTTTCATTTCATCATTGACATTATTCATCATTGTCATTAAAATTTTTTTTTATGATTTTCATGAATTTAACTCTTCGCTCATAAATTTTTGATTCTTTATTTTAAATCTTAATCCAACACATTTGGATACACAACATTTTTTGTTTTTCCATCTTGGGTATGAATAAATAAACAATTTGGAAAGCCAACTCTTGCACATGCCACGTATAGCTACCAATTCCAGTAATCTACCACAAATATTTCAAGAGATATACCAGATGAAAATTTTTGTTAGTATGGGTGGTGCCACGCCCCCTTTTCCGAATTCGGGGAAACCTAACACAAACCATCTGCATAATAGCCCGACTATGCCGTATAAATTTGGTTGAAATCTTGCACTTATTCTTTATACATATATAAGATGGGAGGTGCCACGCTCTCTTTTCCAATACCGCCCATTTTTATCCATGAGTATGGAATTATTTGTTATACCTCTATACCAACTTCCAGTACTCTACCACAAATATTTCAAGAGATATACAACAAAAAAATTTTTAGTTAGTATGGAAGGTGCCACACCCCCTTTTACGAATTCGGGAAAGCTTCACATAAACCATCTGCATGATAGCCTAAATATGCCGAATAAATTTGGTTGAATTAGGTGAAGCCGTTCTCAAGTTATAAGTTCACACCAAAAACGTGTACTTATTTGTATACATAAGATACATACATATGCCACGCCCCTTTTCCAAATTTGGAGCCCCGATGGAAGAGAAGGATGAGGCATCCAAGGATCTCTTCTATGAGCGCTTGGAGCGCACATACGAGCGCTGCCCCCGTCATGATATCAAAATCGTGCTTGGCGACTTCAATGCCAGGGTGGGCAAGGAAGGGATCTTTGGAACCACCGTCGGAAAATTCAGCCTCCACGACGAAACGTCCGACAACGGTTTGAGGGTGATCGACTTCGCCGGGGCCCGAAACATGGTAGTATGCAGTACTAGGTTCAATCATAAAAAGATCCATCAAGCTACCTGGC